CAAGCTTTCTCTCAATGAATCCAGTATCCTGGAACTGTTTTCATAGGTTACATATAACGCTGAGCGTTTAATTAAGTTCGCTGCATATCTGGACTTGTGAATGGCCTGCCTCTAGCCTCCCTACAATTCGCCACTTCATTCCATCATCTAAACGATGGTGATTACCCATTTTTACATTTCCGATGTGAATTTATACAATTGCTGCAAGAGAACACCAAGAATTCGCCGGGGTGTGCTAGCAAGCGCAATTCGTCTTACCCCTCCACGCGCTTATAAAGCTTGTTTTTCTGCTGGCTCCGCCTACACACATGTGTATGCTTACGTATTTGCCGTACAAGATTTGCATTTTTATCTAGAAGCAGTGGTTTGTTTTCCCTTCAGTTCAGTTCTTTTCATGCAATTCGATAAAATACGCAAATTCTCTTAATTTATTTCACCAGTGTACTTCACGCTATTGATGCCAATATTCGTTAGCTCAGCAGATTTCTATATTAATGTTTGCCAGGTCAGTATGGAATTCAGTATGTTGCCAGGTGTATCATACACCTGGCAATATACTGAAATCGTATGGGCCAATGAATCTGTACAGGTTTTACTCTTTTTCCCTGAAAAAAATTTCACAGCATTTTACTGCTGTTACTTGAGGCAATACAGCAAGGGCACTACCATCTTGTCAAAGTGCTTCCCATCTTTATGCATTCCTAAAGGCACATATTAGTAGATCAAGATCACTGTCTAGTATATTCGACATTCAGCAGGAAGCCTGAAAGGTTGTATTAAAACGGGTATATACGCGTCACATACGCGTATATATAAGTCATATACGCGTTTTGATACAACTGTTCATGCTTAACCTTTAAAAGAAGGTTGGCCTAAGAATCGACCAGAGCTGCAGTGTCTCAAAAAGACGGCTGTGGCCGAAATATCGGCCAGCGAATTCCCCATGGAGGTAGGAAGTAAGATGGAGTCGCCCTAAACAAGTTTCTTCGTACCCTGCTCTGAAGCAGCGGCGATCCCTACGTGGTGACCAAAACATTGGGTCATTTACCATTGAGTTCTATGGGATTTGACGCGTTCGGGTGTAAATATTTTGTAATTACGTCGCAAATATACATATAAATGTATATATTTTCTTTTTCTACAACACTTCAGAGTCCTAAGTATGTGAAAACAACATATTTTTAAACAACATTTCATTCTGAACGGAATTAAATGCTATACTTTTCACAGGACAGTTTTCTCAGAATGGTTTAATTTGAATGAAAATATTTCACAAGTTTTCGTTAATTACATTAGAAAAAAATTAAGGTAATTCGATTTTATTCGGTTAAGGTACAAAAATTAAGATCAAAGTTTATTGTATTATTAATATTAAAATTATGCATTATTTCTTTTCTTTTCTATTATAGAGCTTCTTCCTAAAATACTTTCTTAAATATGACATTATTTTTTTGGCTTCTTTTAAATCGAAAAATGTAAGTCAATTTATATTAATGCTCTATTCGGTTCATTTTAAATTAGAGAATTATTAGGAATTAGCGAAATACTTTAAATAAGTATTTCGCTAATTCCTAATAATTAAATAGGTATTAAATAGTAAATGACTCTGAACATTTCTGAAAGGGGAATAAAATAAGTTTTTTTTTTTTTTTTTTTTTTAAGTATTATTTAAAACTTGTAACTGAGTTATATAAAATGTAAAGGGAATAATTTCTTTTAATTATACTTATCAGATTTTTTTTTTTTACCCTTCATTTCAACATACAATACATTCCAAAACTCTTTATTACGTTCTTAAGTGCACATTTCATAGCATTTGCTTTACAATACCTTTTAACAGATTGCTTTCCAATACGAACAATTCTTGCTTAAATAGTTTTATAACGTATTTGTCAACAGGATTTCAATTTATGTTTACAATTCAATATTAAAGTTATTATATATTTAGATAACATTTATAATCATTATAAAATTAGATACATTTAATCATTAGATTTCTTCACAGTACTTTCACAGTTGTTTTATAAGTGAATAAATTCTTCATTTCAAATACATTTATAAATAATTTAATGAATATTTAAGTATTTTGTCAAAGGCAGATATATGCTTTTTGCAAGCACGTGCATAAATACCCATACATATTTCCTATTTATCATTTCCGGCATATGCAAATCTTTAATTTCTGTGCATTCACTATATTTTTCGTGTAAAGTAATTTACACTAATTTAGCATACACCCGAAAGTTTTACATAAAAAATATATATGAATATAATTTGAATGAAAATTATAAGTATTATTTTTAATATCCACTCAAAGGTCAGTTTTTCTTCAAAATTCCTCCACGATGGCATCTCTCTCTTTAGGCCCTTGCATGCGTTACTCTATTTAATAAAAACTTAATCTGACCTATGTGCCTAATTACAAATATTTTAACATACATAATTTTATATTTACATTTAGCCATCAAGTTTCAAACTTTTCAAATCTTCTAGAAAATAAATTTTGGCAGATCTCTTTTAGCAATTTTCTTAAAATCTACATTTTTGTAGTGCAACAGCTTAGAATTTTATAAAACAAATTCATAATCAAAATCGCTGTTGTTAGTTATCGAAAAATAACCAAGATGTGATTTTTGCGTAAATGTCAGTAAACTATACAAATTGCTATTATCCATTACACTATGAATGTTTCTTTCATGCGAGAGTGTCCCTTTTTCGATTTCTATGGAACTGTCGTGTGTCGAAATACTATCAGAATCTTGTCAAGCGAGCTTCTGAATGTAAACAAAGAACACCCCGTCTGGTGACCCAAGCTTCAAAGCAGTGCTTCACTTCTAGCGCGGAATGGCCCCTCCTCCCTTTCCTACCTCCATGGAATTCCCACTTCCCATCTTCAGGGTGCGGAGATAGCCATTGTCCGAATAACCTCCCTTGCCACTTATGCGAGATGAACTTCCCGCCTCCTAACTGTGGGTTTCGTAAATTCCCTTTCGTTTCCCTCTGCAGTGAAATCTTAGCAATTTTACATTAGTATTAATTTCACCAACTTTTCAGTGTCATTAAAAATGTATTTTTTCTTTATATTCCCCTTTTTATTGCAATTTTTGTATTTAATATTGCTGTTTGAAACATGCAAAATGCGTTGGAGTGAAATGCAATGAAAATATAATCAATGAAATCTGTTTTTAAAGTAAAGGAAAATAATTAAAAAAAAAAAAAAAAAAGAAAGAAAAAGCTAAAGGATAAAAAAAGCTTTTATCACAAAACTGCAAGAAAGAACAATGAATAATAATGTAGTTGAAAGATGAAATAACTTAATGATACAATGGGGGGGGCGAATCAATAAATTAAACTGAATAAGAGTACTAATGATAAAAGGTAAACGAAACTAATATAAGAAAAATACAACGGGATTTGTTTGATATATAAATATAAGCTGTTACACAATGCTTGGAAACAAATAAAAGCGTACTGCCGATTTATACGAGAAACAAATAGTTAAACATCATTTTCGAGTATAACTTAAAAATTTTAATTAGTACATGTGTAATTCCAAACTAAATTCAGTTTGGAAACAAATCAAAACTGAATAAACTATGAACTGTTATAGGCGTGCATTTGCTGCTAAGGCGCATTATCATTATGACGCAATGTCAAAAGTTAATATTCCAACATACGACAATTATTTAGCTACGAAATCTCACCATAATATGTTTTCCCTAGTTTAGGGAAAAGAGAAAAAATTCAAAAAATTCTTTTATATTATTCCCCAGTCTCTTATCTGAAAATTAACAAAGGCGAACCCCAAAGGCGACCTACAGGAAAAGTTGCAAAAGAGTAGTAGTTTCGCTTTACAATGGCAGCTAAAGGGGGGGGGGTACTGCCCCGTCTCTTATATTAAAGGTTTAACAGTCAAATATTATTGTACACATGGGATTTATCTTTACATAACTTTACGTTTCTTTCACTGCCATTTGCGCTGTTTAAAGTTCGAAAATGTTTGTGTATTTACGTTTTGGCAAATGTTACTTTTTATAGCAAAACTACATTCAATTTATGGTAGTCCATGTATGTATATTTATTCTTCGCACTGTAGAAATACGGCCACTCCTAAAGCCTCCAAATTTCGAACATGCGTAGTCTTCCACGCGAACATAAAAAAACTCGAAACCCAAATTTTGAATTTAGTTTTGATTTATTTCATATTTTGCGTAAATTTAATGAATTTTTGATTGGCAAACTCAGCGATTTAAATGCGATGTTTTGCCGTTGCTCGAAATAAAGCATTTTTTTTTTTTTTTTTTTTCTTGTATCAACAGTGTAGATACCTACCTATCTTTCAAATTTAATCAACAAACTCGGTTATTTAAAAACAACGTGCTGCCACGGCCGAAAATAAAATACTTTTATTTTTCACATGCCAGTGTGTTGCCATCCGGAAAAGCGATAACTACTTAAAACTTAATTTTTTTTCAAATTTAATCGGTCTGTTATTGATTAATAAGCTAAATATCCAGAGCTACTAATGCAGTTCTTATTTTCTTATTTTTTGGTTTATGAATTCATTGATCAAATAAAAATGCATTTAATTCATGATATACCTAATTAAAAACGCTTAGAGACTGTGAAATTACACTAGCGAACTCACTGAAATCATTATACATATTTTCTTTTTTATAATAATTATTTTAGCCTGTTACCGGGTCTGGAGTAAGTAAATGAAATAATTCATTAATCTCGAATAACTTTCTAAAGTTATTTTATATTTTATTTTATTTTGTTCTGTTTCAAAACTACGCATTTTACTTGTCAACTTTTCAGATTGCTTAAGCAATTCCCGGTATGTTTATGAGAAAAGATTTACATGTAAGACAATTCATGCAATCAAAAACCCATGTAATTCAAAGATCTATTGTGAAATAAAAGTTAATAACGGCTGATTTTTAGATACATTTAGCTTTTCATTAAACAATGCATTTTAATAGTAAACTAATTTTCAGTACAGCAAGCAAAATGGAGCTGATACAGGATGATGAAGAGAATAACTCCCGAAAACCGAAAATTCCAGTGTCTTTATACATCTCTGAAGGAAGAAAGCACATTCGTCTCTGCCAATACGAAAATGCCATTCTAAGTTTCGATAACGTTCTGAATAGAGATCCTCATAATATTAAATCTCTGTTAGGCCGTTGTAAATGTTTTATCAGACTTGGAAAATTTCAGGAAGCTCAGATGGATGTCGAGCAAGTTCTGAAAATTAATCCTAAATGTTCTGAAGCCATTTCTATGAAAAGTGAAATCGAATTCGCGAAGGGAGATTTCGAAACAAGTTTTCGAACATGCAGGAGAGGGCAAACAGTAAGGCCTGCATGCTCACTTTTTAAATTACGCTCTCAGTTTTGCGAAAAGACTCTTGATAACAGTCTACGTGGAGACAAACCGCTTACATTAGAGAAACTGGACATCAATGAAATCATGAAAATCCTAGTCTCAGAAGATTTGCCAGCAAACAAGAGAGGAGATACTCACTCTATTAAAAAGCGGATGTCTTCGATTGACGCTGAACTTGTACAAATGTTTCTAAGTGACAAAGACTTCATTTCTGTCCACCCTCTCTGTAAGGATTTGTTAGAGTTTTTAATTCAAAGAAACTGCTTTTGGAGAGCCTTCATGCCGAACGTGAGTAAAAAGTGGCCATCTACCACGAAGAAAGAAGACTTAAGAATGGACGATCCTGAACATTTCTGTGAACTGAAAGGCAGACGATGCAACCAGTGTGAAGATGCCCTCAAAGAAGACATTGAAAATCTGTTAGAAATGAACTTAGAAGACGAAATACCATTTGACAAAGATGACGAAGATCACCATGGACTGAGAAAAAAAGCTAAAGGTGAAATCCTCAGCATTATTGGTCTCGCATGCATGCTGGAAAAAGGTACATTTTCTGCTTTAGGATTCCAAAAGCGTGCGTTTAAACTAGGAAATAAATATAACATGCCGTGGTTAAAAAAGAATGCTTTACGCTATATAGCGGAAAATTACATAGCAATTGAAGAATACGAGAACGCTTGTCTTTGTTTACGTCGATGCATTGATCTGACCGAATCAGATATAGAAACATCCATTATTTTGTACAAAATTGCCGAATGTAAGTCTCAAGTGAATAAATTAGTTAGCGCAGGAAAAGTTGCTCAAAAGGCTTTAGATCTTGCTACCTCTAACTATGAGAACAGATTACGTGTCGACATCACAATGCTATTGGCCGAAATATCGATTAGAAATGGAAATTTATCAACTGCTGACTATCTTTACGAAAAGGCTTTATCTATAGCCTCTCAAACTAACGATGATAGACAAGAAGCTGTCAAAGATCTGATAAAACTGATAAAGGAGAGAACAGACAATGATAGATGTAGAGAAAATTTTCTTCGGTTGCCAGAAATAGTGAGATTAAATGAACATTTTAAGTGCAAAAACAATCTAAAACATCTAAGTGGTAAATAACTGCTGAATAAAAATGAAAATAATATCGTTAATGAATTTAAGGGGAAGAGAATTGGAAGATAACTAAAACTTTCAGAATAACTTGAAAAACGTTCTAAGTTAATTTAAACTCAAAAGCGAATATTCATTTTAAATAACAAACTAATTAAAGTCAAATAAGAACAATTCTTTTAGAAACTTCTGCAAAAGTTTACATTCGTAACAAATCTTGAAATGTCTTTAGATATCCTTTTAGCTAAATGTTAAAATATTCAGCTAAAGCTTTTAGCTATTTAGCTAAATGTTTAACTATTCTGTTTTCTTTTCAAGTATAACGTACGTCTATGAATATTTAAATAAGTTTTAAATAATTCCTTTAATCATATAAATATATGATTAAAGTCAAGCAAATAAATAATTGTTCTGAATTTCAAAATATGCATATTAAAAACATAGTTCGAATATGAAGAATTTGTACTCGTTATTTAATATAATGAAATAAAGCCTTTTAACATTTGCTTTTGAATATTTTTAAATCGACTTTGAAGAGGAAAAAGAAAATCAAATTGCATATAAATGATGTTCTCTAAACGAGGATTAAAGTCTAATAAACGAAATATATACCTCTCAAATTTAATTTGTATCAATACAAAAGAATGAACTTACAGAGTCTCATTTTCTTGGGAAGCACACACTAAGTCGAGACTTTTAGCGAATTATCGCTAAATGTTGTTAATCAAACAGAAACGCGAGAAGGGTGTATAAAACCCTTTTACGAAGAACTAAAGATAGTTTAACAGAAGGCACTTCTTGTGCTTACAAAACCAGCCAGCATTTATGGCGTAACTCAAAAGTAAGGACTATCAAATTAAAATTATGCCGTAAATTAGCCAAAGGCTACATAGAAATAATTGTTGGCTCAAGCCTATACCGCAAGTTGGCTTTAGCTTATACCAACGAGAGTAGCACTATTGGCATAATAAAGCAAATACACAGACAGACTGCTATCTTAGAATTTTAACTAGTAATGTGGCCTTCAGCAGGTGGAACACGCTCTGCCTAAGCATTCTAAAACTTTCCTTTAATTACCGTTTCTACCTCATTTGAATACGCACGAACTAAGATTAAAATTCTGGTAGGAAAGCAGAAAGGAAGAAATAACAGCAAAGATACTGAACATAAAATAAATCAATACTTTATAAATTGATTGATTATAAATTATAAATTTCTTCGAACTATTACTGTCCTATTTAGTTCTGATGAACATGTAATTCACAACAGATTAGCACTCAATATTTTTGGCACAAGTATATTTGCTGTAATAAAAAAACCATTAAGATACAATATATTATTCTATATCAAGGATGTCAAACTCGCGGCCCGTGGGCCGCATGCAGCCCACAACAAATATTTTTGCGACCCGGCCAATATATCGGCAAATAAAAATATTTAATAATAAAATAACATATCGACGAAGAAAAAAATGAAATGTTTACTGCTAAGTAATTAACGATAATTTATTCAGTGTTGTTAGATTACTCACAGCGAGCTGACACATACACTACTTAAATTACAAATGCGTGTGAGTAGCTTGCGTTCAGCTACCTTCGGCTTTTTGCATTCAGAACTTGTACTCATCCCCTGATAGCCGAATGTGGCCGAACTCATGGTCTCAGTTTTCCAATCATAGTTTTGTTCGATATGTTGGTGCATGCATGTGCAAGCACTTTGCTTTATTATTAATTACTTAATTCGTAATTTTACGGATTTCATAATTATTTATTTATTTAGTTTTTTTTATTTAGAATTGTAATTAGATTTGCTTCATGTTGCCTTAGCAAAGCAGACGATTTTTGAAAAGACAGCTGCGTTGGAAGGTTAAAAATAGAACAGCGCGTGCATTTAATACCTAATAAATAAATATCTCGTAATTGCTGTTGCCATCCACAAAAATCCAGATATTTATAGATGTTTCCAGTATATTCGAGAAATTAATTATAAAGCTTATAAAAGCCGAGAACAAACAACTCATCTCAGTAGTAGTTGTAGTTCTAGCGAACTGTTTCTTTACTTAATGCTGTGATTAATTTGTAGCGATTTCGCTGTGAGATAGAATTAGTTTCTCTGTTTTGAATTGATTTTTGCTAAACGTTTGACATTTTGTGATATTGTTAGAATATTTTTGAAGAAATATTTCAGCATTTTGATTTATCTCTTGTGGAAAGAATACATTTTTGTTAACTTTTTAACGTTAACCGTGTTTATTCCAGCCCTTTGTATTCAGTATGTCTATATCAAAACCAAGTGGTAGTAAACTTAAACGAAAAATCGCTGACGAACATAGAATATTCCAAGTAAAATGGGAATTAGAATATTTTTGCTGTGAAATAAAAGATAAAATAATCTGCTTGATATGTAATAATACTATTAATGTACCAATGTTATATAATATTAAACGTCATTACGAACAACACAAATCGAAATATAACAATTACGAAGGATTAATGAGAGAAGAAAAGTTGAAAGAGCTCAAGTTAGGAGTGAAAAAGCAACAGTCCATGTTTAGTAAAGTATTGCAAGAAAGTGAAGCGGCGGTACATGCAAGCTACGTCTTGTCAGAGTTGATAGCTAAACATTAGAAGCCTTTTACTGACGGTGATTTCATCAAGGAATGCCTAAAGAAAGCTGGAGATATTGTTTGTCCTGGAAATGTGAAGGCTTTTCAATCAATTTCATTGTCTCGAAATACAATTGCGGAAAGAGTTACTGATTTAGCCGCGAATTTAAGTGATCAGATCAAAGCAAAATCATCTAGTTTCGAAAGTTTTCTCCATTGCCTGTGACGAGAGCACGGACATTAGTGGCAAAGCTCAATTAGCAGTGTTTCTTCGTTCTTGTGACAAGAATTTTAACATTTTTGAGGAATTACTGGAACTAATACCGATGCCTGGTACTACCACAGGAGAAGATATATTTACTTGTGTTTTTGGACTTCTGCAGAAATACAATCTACCTTTGGCAAAATTAAAGTCTGTAGCTACAGATGGCGCTTCATCAATGACCGGGAAAACAAGGGCTTCGTAGCATTATTAAGAAAAAAACTTAGTGAAATTCAGGTTCAAACATTCATCATATGCATTGCATTATACATCAAGAAGTTCTGTTTTGCACAGGCACTACACTATAATTCAATAAACTCAGAGTAGCATAAAAATGGGCGTTCTGCATCAGGTGGATCAGTGGATCAGGGGGCGTGGTCAATGACATCACAGAGCGCGGGGCCAAAGGCAACGTCATCACACTAGGAGGCGTGGTTTCGAGTGGAGTTGAGTTGTTCGTAGACTACTGGTTGAGTTGTAGACCTCCTGCTTTTCATTAAAAGTTAGTTTTTTTTTAATTTGGCAACGGAGTCATGGCGTCCTCTAGGGACGAAAAAAGAAAATAATGTATTTAGGAATTGCTTATGGCGTCCTCTAGCGACGAAAAAGTGAATTATATGTTTTAGAAATATATTTTTTAAGTCTGGTGTTAAAATTATTCAATGCGCGACTCTGAAAACAATGTAAAAGAAACAAATATAAAAAAGACTTTCCTTTAATGATAGTTCATCATGTCATGAAAATGAAATTACAAGATAATTTGTTTTTATTACTCAATTTTATTCTGATACTTTTATCCTTTCTAGTTTTAAATGAAACTTTAACTTATTTCTTAGGTTTTCTGTTCATAATAACATATTCATTTACTGTCATATTTTTTTAATACTTAACACGTTTCTAATTTGTAATATTTATTTAATTTCCACATGCTATTTTTTTTCATACCTTCCATAAATTTCAGCATACCCTGATTTTTAACTTATATGTTATATTTCACAAACGTTCCCGCACGTGCTGTTTATTTGTTACATTACTTAATTTTAGATGCAATTTAACACTTTTTTAACGTTATAATGTTCAATATATTCTGAATTTTAACTTCATTTACTTTTTTTAAACCACTCTAGTATTCTATACACACTTTAACTTAGTGGTATGAAATTGTATTTAAAAAGAAACGTTTATTTTTCGTGATCTTAGTTCTTTTACTAAATTTTCTACAGAATTTCTAATTTCTTTCACGTGTTTAACAATATCTTCCTTACATTACCGAATATTTTTTAAAAAAAAAAACTTAAGTCTATAACTGTTAATTGCTTTTCTTACGTTCATGATTTCCCTTCTGTGTTTATATTTCTTAATTCTAGCTTAACTTATTTATTATAATGTTTTTATTTCTGTCTCATCACTCGTAATTCCAACATTTTATCCCTTTTTATTCATTTTAACGATATGGATTGTTTTCATTTACTCCATATTCAAATATTTCCTTACAATTTTATAATACTTGTTTTATTCCTCGATCATAATAGATCATCTACAGGTTTTACTCAGAAATTTCCATTCACAACTTTACAGTTTAATACCATTTATATCTAAATGTATTTCTTTCTCATATAGTTTTATGGTCTTCAAAGTTTCTAACATCATATTTAGTTTTAAATCCCGATTACCTTTAAGTGTGTTGATAATTTTCATTTCTAATTTTACAACCACGTTCAGTGTTTCATCCACACATACCAAAATATTTCTTACATTTTCTGATATTTAGTCTATGTCATATTTCAGTACTTCAAATGAATTTACACTGCTCACACTATTATTTTTTCATGTTTTAGAGACATACCTTTCATAAACTATACTAATTTTACTATTTTTCCTGCACTAATTGCATCTATGTCAGCACTCATGCTAAACTAGCAATTGTTTTGCATCACATGCATAAAGAAATTCTTAAAACCAACTTTTTCAATATCGTACTCAAATTACTGTTTTTCCAGATGGGAATTACCATATTCTTTGGTTTTACTCTGTTACATCTTTTTAAATTTTAACATCTTACTTTAATTCTAACATATATCTTTTAAACAGTTTTTTTCTTTAATGATAGCCTTACCTTATTTGTTCAAATTAATTCTTTCATTCACCTTCTTTACTACCTTTCAGTACCTTCATAATTCACTATGCAAACGCAATGTCTTTCACTGACATTCTGTTTAATAATACCACAAGTTTCCTTAATTGACAAAAAAGCGAATTATTTCTCATTTCAAAATAGAACTACTATATTTTTGCACAAAACATTACCTTTATCCATTCAAGCCACCCCCTTAACCTGTAACTGACGTAGCGATAGGAAAGGAGATTCTTATCATATGCTCTTTCGACATTGAGGTTTCTAGAACTTCTTTGACAAGTATATCAATACCATCAGAAAATATACTTAACACTTTTACCCAGTTTAAAGGCAACATACTGTTATAAGAATGGTTTTAGTTAAATTTATAACACAAATAAACGCATTTTGTGCTAAATAGGCATAAAACATTTAGATTCAGAATATTT